TGAGAAAGATTCCTGAGTTCCCCAACCTAGGGAGAGAGGGGGAGAAACAGCAACAACGAAACCTTTTGGCCATAGATTCTAGAAAGAAAAATCAAAAGGGGCTTTATCGCCTGGTTGATTCTGCCAAATATGTTACCAAGTTTTGTGATGCCTGGGTCTCCTTCAAGAAGTAATTTCTAGGTTCTTTCTGTCCTGAACAAAAAATTGGTCAAGACAAGTGCAAACAACCGCAATGTTTTTACTTTTATTAATGGTTGGAAAAGAAACATGCTTTGCAGAACAGACCAAGAAAAAGTAGTAAAAGAAGTACACACATGAGAGTGGAATACTCTGAAAGAACACAGTGGCCCAGAGTTCAGTGGTAACATTCCATTTATTTATTATTTATTTATTTATGGTACTGGGGATTGAACTCAGGACCTTGCGCTTGAAAGGCAGGTACTCATGCCACTGAGCTATCTCCCCAGCCCATGGCTTTCCTTTTGTATTCCCAGTCTTCAGGATAGTGTCAGATCTAGACTTGTAACATATGGGGTAGGGGAATATCAGCAGAGACCACCACACTTGTGTGAACACAACATGGTATAGAATTTACTGTGCCTAGATATAGGCAGACAGAGCAGTAAGGTCACCTGCCACAAAGAGAAATGTGTCCCTTTTATAAGGATGGAAAGACAGGGGACATTGGGGGCAATTTTAATAAACATCTATGGCCAAAGTTCTCTGGCAGTCTTGCACCTCAGTGGGAAAGTCCTCGAGACATCCAGTGTAAAATTTTGGGTGGATCCAGATATCTCCAGCTGTCCCCAGGATTTGCAAAATACCTTGTCCTATCTTATCTCCTTCATAACATCCTGTGCTGGCTGGTGAGTTTCCTTCTGAGAGAAGCACTCCTGCTGGCAGGCAGGCAGGTTGGGGGTTGGGAAAGTCAAGTCCAATTCAATCTTAGAAGGCTGTACAATCAAAACCTTCTAGATGTCTTACAAGAAGTCCACATGGGAACTGTTGTGTTCATGTGTCTGGGGGGTTTCCAATTAACAGATCACACCCATTTTCCTAGCCATCCTTCCACACTCTAATCTGCCTCAGTGTAAGGGGAGGCTTTTTCAGTTATATGGAGTAGTATCAACAGAATCACAGAACAGTGGGGAGTAGATAAGGGAACATACATGAGGCCTTCACACAAGGAACAGAATGAACTAAGTGTTACAGGCAGCCGAGTTAGATAGAAATATTTTAGGCAGTCAGATAGGGTCAAGCCCTCGAAGGAGATAATGCAGAAGACAAGATATCTTGCAACTGTGGGAGAGAGGGATGCTCCTGCTGTTGGCCAGACCTAAAGACCAAAGATCAAACAAATGCCGACCTCCCTAAAGATTGGCATCTGAGATTGATCATCACCCTGAAGGAGAACAAAGAATCATTAATTCAACTATTACTGGATGGCTACCTCATAAAATCCTGTTCTACATTCATGCCCACTTGCTACATGACTTGCTTCCCCATTTGGTCCTGGACTCAATCAATGTTACCTGAGTAATGGTGCTTGTAATCCCATTAGTTGACCATAGTTTTGTCTCACCTCTTGTCCACTTAAGCAAGTTCCCATTTTCTCTACCTTAGCCCCGCATGATATTGCCCTATAAAAATAACCTGGCAAAGTCAGCTTCCTGGGCAACCCACTTGGACCCCCCTTTTGTCCTGTTTGAGGCAGAAGCTTTCTTTCCCAATAAATATCCTACTCTCAACCTCTGCTCCTAAAATTCATTATTCAGTTTTAGAGAACATGAAGTTGTCCCAGGTACCTTTCAGGTCAGGAGTCCTACATCATAAGGACTTGTTCAGGTTGGCAAGAAGTCAGCTATACTGAGTTTCCTTAACAGTGGTGCTCTTAGAGGCTGTGAATTTGAAAAAAATGATGCTTGAAATTTTCCCAATTATTAAATTTAGAAAGTTAACCCTAACCTGCAGTTCCCTTGGACTGAGCTTTTCTCTAAATGTGAGGCCTAGGGAGTCATGATTCTCTTATACCCTTAGATTCTTACAGATCTGAATGAAGACAAAAGAGCCATCACCATCTCTTTTTAATTTCTCACCTGTTTTTTCTCTGGCTTCTGTTCATAGAATCTTATAAGTAGAAGCCTATCTGATGTCTCAAGAGTATTTAGACCTTGGGAGGATCTTGAAAGTTTTTTTTTTTTTTTTTTTTTTTTGCAGAACCGGGGATTGAACTTAGGCCCTTGCACTTGCCAGGGAAGCACTTATTCCACTGAGCCATTTCCCCGGCCCCTGATCTTGAGAGTTTTTGAGGTAGGATACAAGAAATAAAAACTAGACAGAAAGGAGACAAGGAACATGTTAATTTTAAAAATGAAAACTGTAGCTTCAGGACAGAAGCCTTGGTTGTTGTTGTTGAGGTTAATTTCCAGAACACAAAAGCTTAGATAATTCTTTTTCACTTGCAAAAGGACTCTATCATTTCCATTTTACCTGCAAATGGTCTGCTTTCACCTCCACCTCCGAGTAAGACTACCATTTACCTATAAATTAGGATTTCCCCTGTAAATACATCATTAGCTTTCCTGTGCATAGGCTATCCTCCCCCAGCTCCCAAGCCAAGACCATAGTCTTCCACCACTACGAACACACAAAAATTCCCATTTCCAAATTAGCTTTGCTCACTTCTCTAAATGTCCATAATCCACTCAGGTGTACCCTAAAATCTCTGCCTAATAAACCTTTCCAGTGCCTCTTACTCAAACACAGTAGGAGTCAGTGAGCTATCAAACATTTATCTTTCAGGGTTAAGTTTCTGACATCAGTTCAAGGAAACTCTTAGACCCAATCAGGTGGCAGATTTGATCTGGGAATGAATAATTTCTACTAAATGTGAATTCAGTTTATGGTAGAAAACTTTGTCATCTGTCCCTCTGCCCCTCCCCACACACACATTTTGGTGTGAGTGACATGACTGTTTGGGTTACCAACATGCTTAGATAATACTAACCATTTGTTAGAACTTACTGCCTTCCACAGTCATACTAACAGGCAGGCATCATACCCATTTTCCAGATGAGTAAACGAAAGTGAAAACTTAAGTGACTTTCACATTGTGCCAAAGGAAAATCGAAACTCAGATCTGCCTGACTTCAAAGTCCAAGTTTTGAGCCAAGTATGCCATTCAATGAATCTTCTTCTTTTGATAGAAAAGTGCTAAAGCCATCCCACACTAGTAGGAATTTCCAAAGAAGGGCAGTCCACTATCCTGCACAATGTTGAACTGCCCTCATGATCAGAAATTGTGCACTTACATAACAAAGGTCCCTGCAAACAACATGGGAATTCATTTCCTCTCAATGGGGTTTCTCACTCACTACTGTTGCTTGGCATCATTCCTGATATCAAACAGTCATCCAGATCCTATTCTTACACTCCAGGAGGTCTTGGACTTACTGGCCTCTGACAGTGGGTGTTCTCACTTGCTCCTTTGAACACCACTTTCTCAGACAGTGCTGAGTTGGGCAATTTCTCTTGGGGAGTGAGAAAGTAACACTTGAGAACATACTGGCTTATTATTACACAGAGAAGAGTAAAATTAACCATATGAGATGTCCCTAGAACTGCCAACAGCAGAATGGTACCAACTGTCTTATCCTTCTGCCTTTTTCTTGGTCTCTACCTCATGTCCATCTTTGAAGCTGTTTAATTATTTAGTTGAAGGGTTTGTATGTTACATAGAGAAGTCTCTTACTTCCTGAAGTACAGTGTACGTTGTCTCTGGATTTCTATGCTATTTTTTGAACCCAGTGGACTCATCCTTTTGTTTTTGGGGGCAGTGTTTCATTAGGTAGTTCAAGATGGCCTTGAACTTACTATATAACACAGGCTGGCCTCAAACTCCCAGTGCTCCTCTTGGCTCAGCGTTTGAGTGTTGGAATTACAGTCCTGGCCACCATGTCCAGTTCAGTGGATTCCTCTTTTCTGGTTCCTTTTAGGGCTAAGCTGAGAAACTAGTACGTATTTTGGGGTTGATGATTGATCTGTGGGTAAATATGTTTCTCTTCCTTAAAAATATATGTGAGTTTTATTTTTTATAGACACACTTCATTAGTATCCTCTATAAGAGAGAGCAATATCAATTTTAACAGAAATCTCGGGTCATGAGAGGCCTAATGGATCCAAGGAGGGAAGATGAAAATTAAATACTGAAATTAATCAAAAGGCACTATATGATACCACCTAAAAGCTACTACCAAGATGAAAGCAGGCTAAGGAAGATTAAGCTACAGCAAATTATCTAATGTGAATGTTGCCAGTGACAAAGCAGGTAGCAAGCCATTTAGGCGTGAAGGGATACTGACTGCGGGTAAAGCCACATAGAAAGAAACGGGTAGGAGAATCCAAGCTATACAGGCAAGCAGATGACAATGGGTCAGGCTTCTTCCTCTCAAGAGACATTTGCCACCTGCCTATCCCCTGCCCCACCTTCATGACCCCACCCAACAGCTGCTCGAGCTGAGCTCCTCCCCTACTCCTGCCAGACTCCTGCACTACTGGGACTAAATTTGGGGCTGCCCAAGGCTTTTGGTAATTTAGGGCTGAACTTAGAGAACTGGCCACACATGGGCTGGCTCTGTGGCCAGTTGTCCTGAACAAAGAACAACCCTAAGTATCCACATGCCAAGGAGGCTGAGCTTCCAAAATCACATTCAAATAGCCTTAAATAACAAACTTTCAAATTTTACAGCAGCTGAGCTCTAGTCAAACTTTCAATGCCCACAAAATCATCAAGGAAGTCAGAATGGACAATGCAGGTAAGAAGTCCCAGCAGTTAGTCTCAATCTGGCTTTCTGACATTTAGGATAAACTGTAATGTACCCAGTGAGAAATGTGAAAAAGCTACACTGGAGCAAACTGGGTCATTCAATTTTGTCATCAAATACCAAGAAAAATAAGAGGTGGGTTGATTTTATGTTTAAAAAGCTTTGAAAATTATTCTACTATAAAGGGACATGACTGAACAGATAGGACACAGATTACCCATTGTGAGTTCTGATGACTTTTGCAAGAATCATGGATGTGTTGATCTCGCCTGTTTTGGAGTGTTACTTCAGCTTGTTCTTCTGGGTATGATATTGGTGACAACTAGTGCTTTAAAGCATGTGTTGTTAATGAGACAAATGACCGGCCAGAAAAAGTTTATGAGTCAAGATGGCATAAATTCTTGTAGCTCCAGCTGAAAGAAGTTTGTCAGATGCATGGCAGATTGTGCCACAGGTGTCAGCCACGTCATCCTCAACAATAGCTGCCCACTCCTTCACATATCTCACTAGGACCATGTGACCAATTTCATTGGCCACCTTTTATTTTTTTGTGAATCAAGGCACATTCAACTGGTCTGCATGGAGGTAACTGTCTGGGCTCTACCAGCATCAGATAATAGTACAGTTCCACCACTCAGACATATTCTCCCTAACCCACTTCAGGACAGCTGGTTCTGCACACAAATTGTCCATTTAGATATCAAAAAATCCCTGACTCTGAGAAGCATGCAGATCCACAGTGATTATGTGGTCTGTACCTGCCACACACAGCATATTTGCAACAAAGTTGGCTGAGATTGGAGCCAATCCTCATGCTTTCTCATCTTGCTGGGCGTAAGGGAACCACAGGATGACTGCAGTAACCTGGTCAACTGAAGCAATCTTTATCAGTTTCTCCATTAAGTTGTCATTGATTTCACCAAAACCACTCTGAACAATGTAGATATCTTTTCCACAGTAGATGTCCACCAGTTGCCATGTAAGTTTTTTGGTTGCTACATTTCTTAGTCATGAACTTTTTTTTTTTGGCAGAACGGGGGATCAAACTCAGGCCCTTGCTCTTGCCAGGCAAGTCCTTATTCTACTGAACTATCTCCCCAGCCCCAAAATTCAGACTTGTAGTGATCCGCCTGTGTTCAGCCTCCCAAGTGCTCATATTATAGGTGCGCACCACTACACCCAGTCTCAATCACCATGTCATTGTGACCCAGGGTCAGGGCAGGCACAGCATGGCAGGCCAGGGATCGAACCTGGCCGCTGCGCCATGCCTAAGCAGGCACTTTAGGCCACTGAGCTATCTGGCCAGCCCTCTTAGTCATGAACTTGTCTGTTGACTTAGTCAACAGTTTGTTCGTTTGTTTTGTATTTTAGGGAAGCGTCTACAGGGCATTCAGGGTCTTACTACTAGATCGGACTCATAGTGATCCACCTGTTCACAGCCTCCCAAGAGCTGGGATTACAGGTGCACACCACCAGGCCCAGTCTCAATTGCAGTCTCAGTGTGCCCCTGGGGGCAGGACCAAACACCCGGCCCCTTAATCTGCTGAGCTATTTGGCCGGCCCTCAACAGTCTTTAAGGTATATTGTGATGGGAGCTGCCACTGAAGATTTTGATATTTGGCATCTTGAGGAGCTACCCTAGGCAATCTTTGCTCAGCAGTCACAGCTGCTGTGGAGATGCGAACTGAAGTCACCCCAGAGAAGTCAATGCTGTCTGCTTCCTGTTGCTGCTCTATCATCTTCTATACTTGAGTTTAAATATGAGGCTTTAAGAGCTTTCAAGTAGAAAGAGTAGGACTTTCACGTCATCTTTAGATATCACTTGTAGGAAATGCCCATCCATCTTCCTTCATTCCATTGGATAATTCCAGAAACAAACTCAGGCAAAGAAGCTATAAGGAATACCTTCTCTCTGTACTTTTGAGGTAACTGGCCTTTCTCTGTAGCAACCAAAACAACCCTCAGATACCAGATACCAAAAATTGTGTTGGAAAATAGGTGGCACCTCTCATGTGCTGGGTTTCCTGCTACTATGTGACTGGTATTTGTCATCTAATATCATATCATATCTTATCCTCCTCCCTACTATCTTTTTAAAAGCATTGAAATATTGGCAGTGTTACCTCCCCAGTGTCATGATTGTTTGAAACCAGAACTTCTTGAAAGGTGTCATAGATGATTTTCAAAGTGGTGAGGGTGCCATTCTGGAAGAAGAGGACTCCAGATATGACAGGAAAGGAAGTGTTTTGGCCTAAAAGGGACCTGCTGCTGTCCTTGTATGGTGGATGCCTGCTTTGTCAAGCCCTTAGAATGCTTGTCTTCCGGAGCAGTGAAGCCCAGGACAGGGAATTGGAGGTTAGAATGAACTAGGCAATGCCCAGAACAGTGGTGGCTTGGGAGTAGGAGGGGTTGATTAGTTTGTACGCTCTGTATTGCTGTCCCTGATTACAGCCTGTTAATCTTTTATTAGTGATCACATCACAGCATATAGTGAGAGATACCTTTAGGGCAAAAGAAAGAGAAAGAGATTACCTACTGGACTTCCTGTTTGAGGTCCCTTTCACTCATGAGATAACAGAATTTCTCATCAAAGTCCAGCCGCTTGGGCAAGAGAGCAGGCTGGGTGAAGGCCAGGCTTCAAGCAGCTGAGGAGGAGCATGAGGACTTCTCAGCTGGGCGTGTCTGTTTCCCTGAGTGGGCATCTACAGGCATGAAAAAATCCCCCACAGGCCTGGGGCTGAGTGTGAGGGAGCAGCTGCCACTGCAAGTTCCTGTTTGCCTTCCTGGAATTTCAGAAAGGCAAATGAGACTTGCCTGGCATCAGAGGCCCTCTCGCCTTTCTTCTCTCAGACATGTGTTTCTCCTCTAATTCACAGTGAAAAGGCTTTGCTTTCCCAGCAATTTCTCAACAGCTGCCCAAGGGAGGAGAGACTGACTCTCAGGGTCACAGCTTCTTAGGGCTTTTGTGTGACAAACTCAAGAGTGGTGGCTTAGTTGTGTGCTGTATCCGTTTCCTCCACAGCACTGCTTTTCACCCTATTGCTTAATTTTCCATAGTATTGCAGCTGCTGGAAGCAGTTGCTTTTGACATCCTTTCCCCACAAAGCTGAAATGGGAACAGGTCCTCATTTCATATCGAGTGGCCATTAAGATGAACATTTTAAGGCACACAAAAAGTTTTTCAGCTATTAATATGTCCATCTTAGGTCACATTTTCCCTGTCTGTCATGGGACTGTCCATATTTTGCCTTGTAATACTGTCAAGTGCGCAGGGCTTTTCTCCTCTAGATCAACTGTCAATTCCTTTAAGACACAGACTTTACATTGCTCACCTTTGTAATTCTCACAGTCCTTAGCACACTGCCTGACATAGTGTGGGTGGGTTGGCTGGCTGGCTAGATGCCGGTGACATTGGGCTGGGTGAAGATCTCTCAGAAAGCGGAGTCTGGCTTAATGCTAAGAAGCCAGTCCAGGTCTCCCCAATTTCATTAATGCTCATGTAGCAGTGGGTCACTGGGGCCCCACAAGGGGGAAATATGAGTCACACTATTATCAGAGGAATGAAAGAGAGCAGAGACATGCCTCCTTGTGCAAGGGTCAGAGCCAGGAGGTGAGTGCCTTAACACAATGGCCTTTCAGTATCCCCCAGGTCCATGGTTAATCTAAATTAGTTTATGATGGACGGTAAAGGGGGGAGATATAGGCTATTTAACTTGAACCCAGACTCAGGAAGATTTTTGAGTAAACTTACAGTAAGGTTTTTCTTGCTCAACCAGCCAGAGGGATCAGTAGTTCTTTGTCAAGTCTGTCCTGGTTTCTCTGGTTGAGTGTGAACTTCTCATTCCTTCCACTGAAATTTTCCACATTAACAGAGGGGGGAAGAACCCCCAGGCTAGCCTTACCCTAGGAAATGGAAAGCTCTGTGCTCTATTTCCCTCACATGGCCTTCTACTCCAATGGCAGATAGTGACAGGGAGTCTTCTAGTTTGAAGAGCCACAGGTCCTCATATTCTGAGACCACAATTCCAGACCCACATGGCCATGTGAAGAATTTCCAAGTTTATTTCCAGACACTGAAGGATTTGATTCACCTTCCGGTCGTGTGTGTGTGTGTGTGTGTGTGTGTGTGTGTGTGTGTGTGCTGGTGATTGAACTCAGGACCTTACACTTGCCAGGCAGGTGCTTATGCCACTGAGCTATTGCCCTAGCCCCTTCGTCCTCCATTTTGTCTCCTATAAAACACCTACTTCTTTGAGGTACTTTAAAGATGAAGCTGGTAGAACTTAAAATGCCTTTGCTGTCAAGTGGGGCATCATTAGAGCCCATCCCAGACTCCTACCCACTCAGCACAGCAGAGTTAGCAAAGCAGCCCTGTCTTTCAACCTGGAGGAACCCTCAATTATCATCCTGGGGGTGCAGGTGCCTGATCAGAGACATGACTTTCTGTTAAGCTTCTCTCCACAGAGGCCCCACCACCACACGTATGTGTTCCATCCTGCTACCATTCTCTCCAATTGGGCTTGGGCACTGGGATTCTAGTCTCTGCACCAAAGAAGGCTCACATTAATAGTGCAAGAGTAGTGTCTGTGAAAACAGGATCTTACATGCTGAGGCCTCCTCAGTTCTGGGGCTGTTCAAGCTGACTCTCGGAAGGCCCTGTTACTATTAGCATTGTTTTAGTTAGCAACCTTATGAAATAGGCTTTGTTAATTCCCAGGGAAGTCAAATCATTGGTCTTCCACACTCCTATACTTCCAGAATCAGGGAAATTGGAACTAAGGTACTATGTTGTAGTCAAATGTAAACCTGGCATCTCCATGAAGAGACAGCTAGCTTGGCCCAGGATGGCCACCAGCTAGCATGATAAGAGGGGACAGTTCCAGTGGTACATCCAATGAATTCCTGTTTTCTCTGATCACTGAATGCCACTTTTGTTACCTTGCTGGCTGCAAATTATCTCTTTCAGGCTGCTTTGGAATATCTGGCAGGCTCTTCCTATTGGCTATGAATATTACTGGATCAGTAGGGCTCTGTTAGGAGTCAGGAGACTGTCACTAACAGCAGCTGTGTGGCTCTGGGAAAAATTGCTTTATTTTTGTGAGCTTCAGTTTTCCCATCTGCTAAGTGGACATGGTCAGATCTATCTCATCTTCCTCATAATGTTGGTTCAGCAAATGAAATGAATAAGAGCATAACCATTTAATAAATATCTTCAATGAAACAATTATTCTGAAACGGGAAGAGCCCTGGGTAAGATGAAGGCGTTAGTCTCCTGGGTGAAGGGTTTTGTTAGGTTTCCATGAAAGTTGGGTTTTTCTTTTCACCCTGTGAGAAGAATGTCTGGTTTCCATTCTCTCTCCCCTTAGACCAATTCCTTCTAGCTACATGCCCTATCTGGGCCCCTCTTAATCAAAGAAACATTTACTCAATCAACAAGTGTTTATTGATCACCTATCGTGTGCTCAGCACTGTCATAGATACTCTGGGGTATACAGAGAGGTGTAACATGGTCCCTGCCCCCCAATGTTCACAATGTGCTTTTGAGGTCAGACACACACACGCTTGAGCGTGCGCATGCACACACATACACACGCACACACACAGAATTATCAACAAAAATTGTTCACAATAAGCATAAAGGAGCAATTTTTACATTGAGGCTTGGAGGAAGACGGGGCAAGAGTGGGACAGAGTGGTCAGAGGAGGCTCAGTGAAGGGTCAGTACTGGGAAAGTTCTCCAAGAGTGGGGAGGACATGGATATAGGGGAAGGTTTCTAGCTGGGAGAATAGCTCACATGTAGCCAAGATGGTGGAAACATGAAAGGCATGCTGGAGACCATAACTGAGCCCATTCTGCTGGCACTAAGGTTTGGGGAGCTGTACTGGATTTCTTCAGAACCTGGTCATGTTAGTCTGATGAGGACAAATGTTTATAACCTGCACTCTCATTCCAGGGAAATGGAGCCTTTACAGACCTTAGAGGTAGAACTGTCTGCCTGGGAACCATTTTCTACTGTCCTCAGCTGCAATCCCAAGCAGCAACTCAGTTACCACTGCACCACAGACACAGCACCATGGGTATGGATGGTGCCCATTGCAGCCCTTGGGTAACCTGCAGAATGTCTTCTAATGGATGGTAAGAGAAACACAAAAGGTGATGAGGGCCCCACAATGTGTTGCTTTTTAAGCTGATTTTCCATTAGGCTTGAAGACTCTCTGGTGGGCTGCCTCTTTAGCACAGTAGAAACACCCTCTAGAGCCATCACATTATCTGCCCAGCTTCTAGACACCAAAGCTCTTACTCTCTCTTGGCCAAAGTCAAGCAGTAATACCTTCTTCAGTCCCCCACAGCTCCTATGTTGTCATCCCAAGCCAAGGACCAGTTCTAGAAAAACTGGTTTATTGTTCCTAAGGAAACCATTGTCTGGGGCCCTTAGCCTGTGGTTTAGACAGGAAGCCAGGTCAGGCAACCCAGACGCAGGCAGAGACTCTTTGAAAGTTGAAACTGCAGCTTCTGAGGCAGTTCCTCAGTGAAGGTAGTCTGCTGCTGCCTTGAACTTTCCACATCTTCTTTCTTTGTGCTTTCCTCTAGTTGTGGGTTTTATTCCTGATTGATAAGTGTAAGGAAATCCTGGAAAGTGCCTTCAGAACAGGTTTTGGTCTTTTGTGGTCCCAGGCTTCCTTTCTTTCCATCCATGCTGTACCCAGACTCTGTTCTCTGAGTACTATGAGATATCTTTCTTTTGGTTCATGTACCAACCAGTCTCGATAATTTGGAGTCATAGCAAGAGTAAGATAGAGACTCTCAGGCCTATTGCTGACCAATCAGCCTCTTTGGAGGGAAGTTTGAGAAGAAGGTTAGGGACATATCATATAAACCACCACTCTTTCTCCATACCCCCCAGAAATGAGCTATGAGCCAACCTGAGCCAGAGGGGCAGTCTTTGTCCCAGAGTCAGTCAGTCTATAGGATGTGATTAGTGGGTTTTGGAAAGTATTTCTAGGCAAACCAAAGGACAGGAGGGAGCCTCTGTAGCCTGCCTAAGGTAGAGGGATGGATTGGTTGGAATTTAAGGTTGAAAACTCAAGGAATGGGGATATGGAGGCAAGCAGAGAGAAACAGAAAAGGTGGTTTGGCAAGTGTCCTTGAAAGTTCAACCTGCATGCTGTCACACCATCTCCTGCTTCTGTCTTCATTTGATCCAATGGCCAAAGCCAGTCTCTCCTCATCAGGACCTTCTGACATAATCCAATGGCAATGACCCTCACCCTTGGCCTGGAGGTGCTATCGACTGGTTCTCACAGACCCAGCCCCCCACCCCCAGCTCTGGCCCCTGGTTCTTCACACATACCCTGTCAAGCTGTAGGAGTTGAACTCACTCTTGGCTTTGGATGGTTGACCAGGCCTTGGAGAGCTCCTAGTGGCAAGAGGCTGAGCCTGGTAACCATCATAATAGTTGGCACGACTTCCTTGAGATGAGCAGGAAAAGCAGAGGATAATTCCAGCTATCAGAGAAAACAGAGATGAAATAATGCCCAAATAAATAGCGTCTCCAATCTCATATTTCATGCTGTCAGGCACCAGTGGTGAGTAAAAGTCACGCAAGATTCCATGAAGATTCCAGGCAACAGGGATGAAGCCCAGGAGGCCTCCAAGAATGAAGAAGACTCCACCCACTACTGCCACTCTGTCTTTGGCTTGGGATTCCTGGCAGAAGACTGTGCATCTCATGCCCACCACAGCAATAAGGCAGGCCAGTGAAGAGATTGCACTGGAAGTCACCATTAGGGCTTGGGCAGCCTGGATGTCAGCAGGCAGGCCTAGAAGGGTACTGTAGATGTCACACTGCGTGATACCTGTGCTGTGTGTTGCACATTCCATCCAGAGACCCTTGGAGAAGCCGACTGCTGTCACAATGCTGGCACCAACATAAGAACTTGTTCTCCAGGTGGGGAGCAGCATGGCAATCACTGTGCCCAACAGTCCCAGAAGGCCAAGGATGTAGCCCACAAGTTGGAGGCCCAGAGAAACCATGGCAGACCTCTCAGCAGATGTATCTTCAGAGCTTGTGCTTTCTTCTCACTGTGGATCTTGCTCCTTGGATCCCAGACTCTAATGCCTCATTTCAGAGTGTCTGCCAGGCTGATTCCTCTCCTCCGTACAAGTCTCTGTGGGTGGCCACAAGCAGGCTCAAGAAGGCATCCAGAAAACCTAAAAAAAATCCATAAACCAGATTAAATATTGACCAGAAGCTTATGAGAAACTAGAAAATGCTGAATGCCTTTTGACCTTTGTTATCTTTAAAAATAACACATGAGAAAGGAAAAAAAAACTTTGAAAGTGGAGCCAGAATGTCATCACCTTCTGCGTAGGCACATGCCTTAGGTTGGCAGTCAGACAAAAAGTAGAAGCCAGACAGGTGGCTGGTTTCTGAGAAGGCAGTGATGGCAGTGGCAGTTGTACTTGTGTCAACTCTGCTAGTCTCCAAGGTCTGCTGTTTAATGCACTGCTAAGCAACAGTGTCATAGGGCCCCTCAACTGCACACTGAGGCCAAACTCCAGGGGACTGAATCAGGAGGAACAGGTCCTAGACTATAACCTTGGACTTCAACTTGTTAGGGGCCATTTTAATCTCAAAGGGCTCAGAGCGTAGTGGCTTAGCTGTGGATTGTCTTTCCTGTATCAAAAATCCACTCCAGGGAAGATTGGGGCAGGAAAAATTCTTTCTGCCTACACTCTGAGACCTCAGGCACTCCCAGGCTGCCCAAATCCCTCTGTGAAGGACCCCTGAATGTATACACACTGAATATTTTCTATATGATCTTCTAATCAATGCCCCCTTTATCAACTTCTCAGATAATGTGGGCAGACTTGAGAGAAAGGTTATTCCAAATTGCAGGGGATCCCCAAAGCTTCCTGAGCCCTCTATTCAGAGCAGTGGAGTGGACAGGGGAAAAGAAAGCAGCTCTTGAAAAGAGGGCATTGTTACGAGCAGACATCTGAGCAATCCTTTGGAATCTCAGAGCTGTATAGGATTTTACAGTGTTCAGTGAGTCCTCACTCTTTTGAAGATTTAGGATGTTGAGTGTCATGTGCACATCCTCCTGTCCATCTTCTACACGACTCTCCAACTCATCAATTTTTCAACCCACTATAATCTGAATCTGGCTTCTCCATTTGTAGGCTACTCCAAAAATTTTCTTTCCCTACCTTTATTTTAAATTGGATTGTTCTTCAGAAATCCACTCTTTCCTCAGTCAATATTGTATCGCTGAGCAAACACATCCACCCCTATAAATCTGTTATGCATCTAGTGACACACCCAAGTCTCAATATTTATTATAGACCTTTCTGACCTTCAAGACTGGCAAAGGAATCCTCTAGTCAAAATTTCCACAAGGAAGCCAGGTATGGTGGTGCATGTCTACATTCAAGAGTCACAGGCAAGATTTCACATATCTACAGGGGAATACATCATGTGCCCCATTTCATTTTTTCCAAAGCAATTCTTCCCTGGGTTCCCTGTAATCACTGAATGATATCTCTACCTACCCCCTTACATCAGACCAAACTCCTGATTCTTGACAATTTTCTTGTGCTTATCACCTGTGTCCTACTGTTTCTTGCTTGGTTCCACTAGTTATATCTCTTTAATATACTTTAAATCCATTGTTACTTCCAAGTATAGGGCTGCATTATTGTCTCTCACCTGGAAGCAACCACTTAACTGGTCTTACCTCCAGTCTTGCATCTTCTGTTTCATCCTCCACACTGTTGCCAAATAGATCTTTTATTTTTATTTTTTTTTGGAACCGGGGATTGAACTTAGGCCCTTGTGCTTGCCAGGGAAGCACTTATTCCACTGAGCCATGTCCCTGGCAAAAGAGATCTTTTAAAAGTTCTGATCAAATCGCTGCTCTAAATAAGATATACTGGTCAAGCAATGGCTGTGACTTATCCTCATGGCTAACACGGACAAAGGATCTACAAAGTGCGGTACAGGGCTACAGGATAAATCCTGAGAGTACTTGACTGACTTTATCAGATACAAAAGTTACATTTCTTGTTATATAGATCTTGCTTTATCTTGGTCTTAACCATCCAGCAGAAAAGTATAAAAACGAGGTATATAAAGTCATATTAATACAATGAGCTGTAAAATTCTCAAGTGAATAACTTCTGAGGATAACCCACTAACATTATAGACTGCTAGACAGTGTTAGATTGTTTAGCTGAATTCAAACACCTATAGTATTTAGATGCCAATAGAATATCCACCTATGACAGGACAAAAAAAAAGGGATACAAAGGAAAGATCATTTTGTATTTATATATACAAAATAGTTAGGATAAATATACAGCTATGTTCACTTAATTCAATGAGAAGAAAGAGGTGTACTAATAGTGTTTGGACAGGATATCCTGTCTGCTTCTTGTACTATGAATAACCACTAAGAAGATAACAATGTACAATGTATTGATTATCGAAACTGTCCTATTAATCAGCTTTGAAACTGCCTCATTCGTATTTATTTCTCAATTTAAATAAATAAATAAATAAATAAATAAATAAATAAGTAAGTAAAATATTCTAGTAGTTCCCATTTGTTAAAGGATAAGGTCCAAACTTGTTTGTACTCCATGATTTCCCAAACTTCACCTCTTATCATTCCCTTTCTCATGCACTCCACTTTTTTTTTATGTATTTGGTACAGTCTCATTATGAAGCTCAGACTCATAGTGATGCTCCTGTTTTCAGTCTCCCCAGTGCTGGGATTATAGACATATACCACCACGCCTGGTCTCGGTGGCCCACTCAGCATGCCTGGGGGTGGGGCCACCACTGCATTTAGTGCCAGGGATTGAAGATTGGGGATCAGAACCCAGGTCCCTGCACTTGCCTAAGCAGGCACTTAGTTTGCTGAGCTATTTCACTGGACCTCTAGTTTTTTGTTGTTGTTATTTGTTTTGTTTTTTAATACCAGGGATTGAACTCAGGACCTTGCACTTGCAAGGCAGGCACTTATGCCACCGAGCTATGTCCTCAGCCCCATGCTCTCTACTTTTGCTGAACTACTATGATTCCCTCATCTCCACAGTCATGTAAGTTTTTTTCTTTTTCTTTTTTTGTTTGTTTTTGTTTGCAAACCTGAGGAAAGCCTGTTCTACCTGGAATGTCCTGTATTCTTCTGTTTAGCCCTTTCTCTTCCTTTAAGATCAGCTCCAGTGTCTCTTACTTTAGCCTGGGCCATGTTTTGCTGTTGTATGTTCTCATGGTGTCTGGTATTTCTTTATTTCTATTATCAGCACCATTATCATTATCATCATCATTACAATAGAAACACTGTATAGTGTTTCTTTTTTGATCATTGTAAGCACTCTACATGTGTGAGCTCATTTATTATCTCAATTTTGTGGTAGGTACCAATGATCTGTATTGTATAGTAGATGAGGAAACTGAGGTTGATATATCACTTTTTGCTACAATTTCCTTTTTGTTACAATACTCGTTGTCGGCTCATCTGTGAGCTACTTGAAGACAGGAACTATATCTTACTTATCTCTCTTTTATGTTAGGTACATAGGGCTTTACTCCAAGCAAGTGTGCAGAAGTATCTTTCTTTTCCAGATCCTTTTTTATTTTTAGGTAGTGTCCCACGATGTCACTACATTGCCCAGGTGGGCCTCCAACTTGAGATTTTCCTGCCTCAGCCTCCCAAATACAAAAATATCTTCTTAATGAATGAGTAAAAATTATAAAAAGGTTTTAGGGGTCCCACATAACTATAAAATAGTCTTTCTAAATGAATCAGTGATATTTCACTGTAAGAATCACCAAGGTGCTACCTAATGTTGGCAAGGGAGTTTGAGATGAAGGGAATAAGAGGAAGAAGTTCAATATGATGATGCCTGGGTTCATGAAAGCAATGCAAAGCAGTAACTAATAAACACTTGATGATCTCTGTCATTTATAGGTGTGATGCTAAATCCTTTACCAGCATTAATTTTCTTATTACTCAGTTCTGAATTTATCAAGATCATGACTGTGCATCTTGGTAAGACCTTGAGTACCACTAGGCAGTCCTTCTATTTCTCTCAGGATGCATCCTCTTGGTAACCACTTGAAGTATTTGCTATTCTTTTTTAAGTTAATATTTTTTTGCATCCAAGATCCTTAAAAAGTCATTTACTATTGCTGTCTCTAGTTCTTTACCCTTCCACTTCTCAGCCCTCTTCAATCTGGTATTTGCTAACAGCCCTCCACCAAGAACATTCTCATCAAGATAATCAATTATTGCTTATTCCAATATTCAATGATCCTATCCATGTCACCTTGTCCTGTCTCTCTCCTTTTTAGTATTTCTCCCTTGTTTTTTGTAGCACCACTCCTAGTTTTCCTCAGCCCTCAGAATGATTGTTTTTGTAAGTTCCTCTTCTTCGGCCCACTACTTAAATTTGACTATCTACCCAAGGGTTTCATTTAGACTACTTTGCTTATTCTTTAATCTCCATGGGTGATCTCATTCACTGTAACTCTGTGACAGTGAGTCAAATATCCCAACCTCTTCTACAGATGTCTCTCTCAAACTCACGGTTTGTGTAGTCAAATACAATTGACATGACCCCAAATGAATGTGTTAATGGCACCTCAAACTCAACAGCTGTAAAGCTGAAACCATCTGCTCTCTTCTCGCCTTATCCTGAAACTATTATTCATACAATGTTCTCCTTCTCATTTCCTTATTTCCATGAATCATTAGCCATTCAATAACCCAAGTCAGTCACCCTTGATTTCACCCTTTTCTTATCATCTAATCATTATGAAATCCTGTCAGGCCTCCCTTTTAAATAAATCACAAATCCACCCACTTCTCTCTCTATCTCCACTCCCTAAACCCTAGTTCTGACAATGCAACCACTATCTCTTGTGCACTGAGACATCACATAGGCATCTCAAATTGGTCTTTGTAGTTTTACTTCCACCCTATTACTCTAATTAATTACCCTTCCAGTAGGTAAGGATCTTTCTAATGTAGAGATCAGCTCACTACTGTCATCTCACCTTCTGCCATGTTTCAAAAACCTCAGAAGCCTTTAATTCCTTTCAGAGTTAGTTTCAATCTCTCTGTCTGAGAAAAGTAGAAAAGCTGTCCATTGTCTGACCCATGTTTTTCTTCCCGGCTTCATCTTGCACTATTAACATCCAATCTCATGCATTTTGCTTGTTTAACCCAGAGAGAGAGAGAGAGAGAGAGAGAGAGAGAGAGAGAGAGAGAGAAAGTCCAGCCATACCTGGGTATTTGTATTTCTCTGAATTTGTCCTTTTTTTTGTCTCCAAGCCCTTATGAATGTTGTTCTGCCATACACCATTTGTTTGGCTAGTTGCTAGTCATCCTTGAAACTGTTTTTGGGGATGTTCACATCTATAATCCCAGTACTCTGGGAAGCTTAGGCAGGAGAACTGCAAGTTTGAGCTTAGCCTGGGCAACTTAATTATTTACTGAGATGCTGTCTAAAACATAAAATATAAAAATAAATGATAGGGGGATGTAACTCATTTGGAAATATGTTCAATCCCCGGAAGAGAGACAGACAGAGACTGACGGAGACAAAGAGACAGAGAGAACTGTCCTTAGTCTCTCCCCCAGCACCCCCCCCCATTGGTTACTTTCCTTTTGTATCTTCTCTTTATGTCTGTGCTTCTGGAACAAGTTGTTGAGCTACCTTGATGTTTTTAGGGGAAATTCCTCCTCCTCCCAGAGCAGCAGCTTTTGATTCAGCCTTGTTGGGATGGCAGCAGACCAGCCAACCTTGAGTTTTGAGTGGGTATCGACAGTATCCTCTGGAGGAGAGCCTCTCCTCGCAGCCAGTTAGGACAGTATTTGGGGGAACAAAGAGGGCAGGATCAATAAAATGTCATTACTGGGGATTGATAACTCTAGAGTCTAGTTTGGCATAGCTGGGTAGGAGGAATAACAGGTTGTGAGAACTTATTCAGATAGAAAAAATTGCTCCCTGGAGACTAACTTTGGCCAGGTTTAGGAAAACAAACTAGGTAAAATAGCAAGTACATAGTGGTGTGGTGAGTGAGGCAGATTCTGCTTTTATTTGATGAGCAGTGGAAGCAAAGTTAGACAACGTTTAGATAATCAGTCCTGGCCTGAATGTCAAAAGACCTAGATTCTTGTTTTGGTTCTCTGCCTGCAAACAGTTGCAGAAGTCCTCTAACTTCACCAAGCCCTCATTTGCTCATCTCTAAGGTTGTAATTCTCCAATAAGGTAATGAGGACAGGATGTCATTTTATCAAATATAGAAGACTGAAGAAGAGCTGATAGAAGAATGTAGCTTTAAAAGAAAATTCCATTTGAGGGTTCCTCCTGGAAGCTAAGCATTGCCTGATCTGGAGGAACAGAACTTTAGGCCTTGTCAGATGAGTTTGTCTCCTGGGCATGATGCCAACATACTCCATGGCCAAAGGGCTGGGCAAGAAAGTTCCACTAGGATCCTTACCTAATCTTCCTTAGAGGAAAGATTGAAACAGCAGGAGAGGATTAGAAGGGTCAACAGTGACAGAAGCTCCTGACTTAACCCTTTCTTGCTGGGTATTTGCCCTGATACTTTCTCCATTTTTTTACTCCAAAGGTCGTACACAAGATGCTCCTCCTTTTATAGAACTCTCAAAAAAAGAAAAAAAAAACCAAACCAAATCAAAACAAAACAAACAAACAAACAAACAAAAACTGAGGAGCATGGTAAGATTGGTTTCCCAGACTCAAAGTAGGACCTATTGCGATCTTCTGGAGCTGATGGAATCCAGCACAGCTCTCTTCTGTCAACTTCATTTCTCCACACTTTGACCTCACAGCTGCTCAGAGGAAGCTAAGACACTTGCTGCTCCCTCTGTACCTTACCCCTAGGTATAATGACTCAAGCAAATGCACACACCATTCCCTTGAGACCCTACTTACTGGAAAGTTTGTCCTCACAACAGTTCACATTTCCTTGTGCACCAGCTGAAGGGTAATAGTTCTACGAATTACAAGTGCCTTGAAAGATTTTTTAATTGTTTTTTTTAAGAAAAAGGTTTATTTTTGTCCTGACATTTACGTAAAGCATGCTCATTTTTTTTTCCTGTGGTACTGGGTCAGCTTAGAATACTGAAAAACACAGAAAGGCAGAATTTAGAAAATAAAAATCACTTACAATCTCTGCAGCTAGAAGTACTATGAACATTTTGGCTCCAATTCCATTTTCAAGGAGGACACTTAAGAGAATAATGCCTTAGTCTACACAAGGAATTTCTACTGGCAGACTCACTGACAAGTCTACAGTCTTGAAGAGTTACTTAAGGGCTTGAAGGGAAAACCTCATAATTTCAGTTAGGAATCCCCTTTTAGCTGCTACTCTGAGCCTTCCCAGAGCCTCAGTCTTAAAATCCTGAAGAGGGCTTTGAAGCATCCAGACCTTCTCAGATCCCATATTTTGGTAGATGAGGAAAATAGATTTTTTTCTTCATACATTTACTGCAGCATTTCTATCCCAAAAGTTCCAGCCAGAAATGATCTGATTTAAAGAATGTTTCTTCTGGACCTGAAGTTTCAAAAAGTAGAAACTTTATGGCACCTTTGAGGAAACAAATACTAACAACCCAAGTGCCATAGGAACTTTCTATCCTATTCCCTTAATTCAGAAACACAAGGTGGTTCAACCTGATTCCATGGGCTACTCAACAACAGCTAGGGAGAAAAAAAGCACCCACCTATGTGAATTTGAAAGGCAGCAACTAAATCGAGACTAAGATACTTACAGAGCTGTTCTTTTGCAGAGCCTTGGACTAGGAGATGCCTCTGGAGAGAGAGGAAGGGGTTCTGAGAAAGGGGAGTGAGGTCCAAAGTGATAAAGGATTTCTAATGGTTAACCACAGCTTTGCAAAATCCGAACCTTATTACAGATGAGAATTAAACCCCTGGAGACTGGAAACAATTGAGGTACTTAAAAAAAAAAACAAGGTTTGGTGGGTTTTGTGTTTTTCCTGTCAAAAACTCCTGCTGGGCTTTTGTGCAATGACCTCAGAGCACCCAGGAGAAACTGGAGGTTGGGGTGGATTTGGCTCAAGTTGGAATTCAAAACATTCCAGCTTTGGGAGGGAGGTAAAAGAAGGAGACTCTATTAGGAGTCCCTGGATAGCAGCCCAAAAGCACAATGGGAAGAAAGCCTTATAAACAGCCTTGGTGAACTAGTGCCCAAGCAGCCCTTCACTAGCTATAGCTCCACAAATTTTTCACCCCAATTGGCTCTTCAGCAAGCTTCAAGCCCTAATACACCCTTCAGGTTGACCATGATAGCCAAGGACAAACATGAGTACTGTGCATTTAGATTCTGAATTTATAAGAGCAGTTCTGTCAAGGCAGAACTGAGGTCACAGTACCATATGTAGAAGTAGCATACTCTGTGTCATTTAAGCTCCTCAAAATTTCTGTGCAAGGGCTAGCCAAATAGGTCAGCAGATTAAAGTGCCTGCAAGCAGGCACTGGGGCCTGGGGTTCAATCCCCTGGCCTGCACTGCCGGTAAACCCTGGGGGCGCGCTGAGACTGCAATTGAGACTGGGCGTGGTTGCACGTGCCTGTAATCCCAGCTTTTAGGAGGCTGTAAACAGGCAGATAACTATGAGTCTGAGCTAGCAGTGAGACTCTGAACACCCTGTAGAACCTTCCCTAAAAATAAAATTAAAAAAAATTCTGTGCAGTTCAGTGATTGAATTTCCTTTCCAAGTGGAAGGAAAAGCTTTTCTTTTTTTCTTTTCTTTCCTTTTCTTTGGCAAGAATATGAGATGCTACCAAAAAGAATTTGGCAATTAAAATGTAAAGACAAAAGTAGAGGTCCTTGTAATGCCACAAGCCAGAGATAATCACTGCCAACATTTTTTTTTTTTTTGGTAGAACTGGGATTGAACTCAGGCCCTTGCGTTTGCCAGGGAAGCGCTTATTCCACTGAGCCATCTCGCCTGCCCCAACTGCCAACATTTTGAGGTACCTTTTTTAAAAAATGTATTTAGTTAGTACAGGGTCTCACTACACAGATTGGACTCATAACGATCCTCCTGTTTTCAGCTTCCCAAGTCCTGGGACTACAGGCGTGTGCTACCACACCATCTCAATTGCCCTCTCAGCACACCTAGGGGGCGGGTCCTGCACTGCACACCAGGGATCAAACCCTGGTCCCTGTGTCTGCTGAAGCAGGTACTTTAATCCGCTGAGTTATTGGCTATCCCTCTTTGAGGTACTGTAGAACACATTAATAGAAACATTTGTTACAAAGTTGTTACAAAATCACACTATGCCTACAATTCTGTGAATTTCAGCCTTGTCCTCAGGGTGTGCTGAGATGGCAATTGAGACTGTGCATGCTGGTGCGCGCCTGTAATCCTAGCTCTTGGTTCTCTCACCTTTTTTTTTTTTTTTTTCAGAACCAGGGATTGAACTTAGAGGCTTGTGCTTCCCAGGCAAGTGCTTATTCTACTGAGCCATCTCCTTGGCCCAATCCCAGCTCTTGGGAGTCTGTAAACAGGTGGATCACTATGAGTCTGATCTAGTAGTGAAACCCTGAACACCCTGTAGACCCTTCCCTAAAATAAAAAAAAAAGAAGAAAGAAAGAAAGAAAGAAAGAAAGAAAGAAAGAAAGAAAAAAGAAAGAGGGTCCAGGCAGATGGTTCAGTGCCAAGTTCCACCAAAATAACAATAATAATAATAATAATAATAATAATAATGATAATAAAATAAAGAAAAAAGAAAGAAATATGTAATAGACCTATTCCCTTGTTAATAGAAAACAGAGTTACATCATTCTCTTATGGCTATATTACATTTTATAGTATAAAATATGATTTCTTTCACCATTAACAGATATTTTGTTACCTTCATATTTTCACTATTAAAATCTTGCACTTTTTCTCTTAATATTGAAAATTCCTAGGCAAAGAATTATGCATGCTTTAAAAGCTAATATGGCATAGTACAAAAGTAGAGCAGTTATTACTAATCCCAAGTGAGAAAATGTAGGCTCAATGAAATGAATGAATGAATTACCCAACATCACAAGTTGAGTTATAAAAGGTATGCATTTGATCTAAAAATCTATTTCAGTAAATTTTCCAGTGTTTGGCACTGACTCTTTCCCAAGGAACCCCTTGTAAAAGTGATGAGACTAGCAGGCCACTATTCATTGAACACTTTGTCATTGCCAGGCACTGTACAGAAAGTTTTCATATACATTGCTGATAAGGAGAAACATAACTCCCAACCTGTTTAATGTCCAGTGTGCCAAGTTCATGGCCCCATAACATCAAGGAATGAAGTTTTGGACCAAAAGAAGAAGGAGAGTTTTATTGGAAATTAAAACAGAAGAATAGCTCCTTGATTTCCAGGAGGGGCTGCTGAATGGAGTGGCCTCCAAGACCCTTTTTCAGGCATAATTTTCACAGCAAAGTCATTGTGTGGGTACAGTGTATGCCAGTCTACAGTCAGCCTATAGAATTATAAGTACGGCTGCTTAGGTAATATTGATCCTTAAGGGAAATGAGTCATATAACAAAGGTACACATGGAGAGAACAAAGGCATTTTTGTGAAGGGATGCGTCCAGTTGCTCTATCACACACCTGGGAAACTGATGCCTACCTGGACTTACTGGACAAGGTGGTGCTAATTACAATAAAATTGAAGTTATTCTTTATCTCTCAGGGAGGTACATAGGCCGAGCCATTGTATCCTTATCTTGATGCCTGGTCTTCTTCAGATGTGTCTCCAACAACAAATCTAATGTCTTTTTTGTGTGTGCTGTCTTTCTTAAGAATCCAGTCCTTCTCTTACTGTATGTTAGTTTCTATCTAATTTATTTGCCTATAATATTCTCCCCTCTGAAGAGCTAACTGTGATTAAGAGAGAATGAGTAAAGTTTTAAGCTAGCTGCTTTGAACTGAAAAGTGTTCAGGTAAGGGACATTCAGTCAAGGACCTTCTTCACAGGACTAATCTAAGAGACCTGAGATAGAAGTCACGTTGGAGTTTAACAACTATTAACTCCCTTCAGAAGGTTTATCTAGTAGATCCTCTTGGTTTCATTTGCAAGAACAGTTGGAAATTGCAGGTGAGAATAGACAAATTTTACCAAGAGGTTAGAGAATGCATGACTAAAGGATGAGCACTAGGATGGAAAGACAGATTGGGAGCCACATCCAGACATACTTCTAAAGGATTTGAATATGGGTTGTAAATAGCTGGCTCCTAGACATGTCTACTGATAGAGGTTATTTATAAGTCTGATATTTCTTTGGCATAAGTGTCTCCAATTTTAGCTGCAAAAAGATGTTTTGAAGGATAACTTTAAGGAATTTAAGATTCTTGTTGAGTTTTTATAGGTTCCATTTTAGCTTTTAACCTCATTGAACCATACTAGTGCTACAGGTGTTGTTGGAAACTGCCAGCAGGGATCAGTGATTGGAGCCCGCTTTTCATATCTAGCTTTTATTACTATGGTATGTTTTATTCACATTTAGGTTATACATTTTTGCTGGGTGTTTAAGACCAGGTCAAAATAAGACCTGTGTTAATTAAAACCAACCTCTTGCTATATATCCAGATCAGTTGAGTCTCCTCAGGCATGACTTTGGAACCATGTACAGTGTCTCTCAGCTCATCTGTCAGCTTCAGCCACCAGAATGTGTCAAAGTTATTCTTGACTATGTGGCTTCCTATGGAAGCAAGGGTGATATCTCTGTCTCTGCTGACCCTTGTTTTTAGTATTCTGCACTTTGATTGATTTCTGTTCCTTGACGTTCAATATTCTCCCTTCTCAGGTAGTTGGGTGACTCACCAAATTAGTAAGATGCTCTAGAAAAGGTCCCTTCATGAGGCCCAGTGAGTGTGTGGGAGAGCTTCCTCCTACCTGAGAAGGGAGGACCTGCTGGTCCAAGGCCAAGCGCAGCATGGGTGAGACCCTCTTCCATACCATTGTGACACCCCACACACCACTCCACAGCAACCCCTGACCCCACCCGCCCAATGAGACTTTCTGCCACCTTCTGGGCACCCCCAGATTCAGCCCTAGCCCAGGCCCAGTGAGTGTGTGGGAGAACTTCCAGCTAACCTGCACCAGTGGGACCTGCTGCTCCAAGCCCAGGTGCAGCATGGGTGAGACCCTCTTCCTTCCCCTTGGGACCCCAACACACTCCGCAGCACCCCATCCCACCCTGCCCGCCCACTGAAAATTTCTGCCATGTCTGGGGCCCCCCAGATCCAGTCCTAGCCCAGGCCTGGTGAGTGTGTGGGAGAGCTTCCTCTACCCCCTATGCCACCTTTTCCCTTCCTGACTCAGCTCAAGCCTGGCATACAGGTCTGGGGTGAAACCCTGCAACTACAATCCCTGCACAGAGAGTAGGGGACAGAACCACCCAGCTAGTGCAGGAGCAGAAAATCTTGCCAGATGGACACAGCAGGTTTGCTCCCAAGGGTGGTAGCAGGAAGGAGCTGAGCACAACAGCCAGACCCAAGCCAGGCACAGCTGAATAAATACAAACTTTGTAGATCTGCACCTGAACTTCAGTAGGTGCTAAGGTTATAACTGCACCAAAGCTCTACAACAAAGGTCAGAAGACAGTGTACACAAAATGACAGCGAGAAGGAGCAAAATGCAATCAGAAGCCCAGTCCACCCATAACAAGTGCAAAGGACACTAAGACAGAACAAATTGACAATCACACAGCTGAAATCAATGAATCAAAGGCTTCAGAAGTAAAGAAAGAACTGCAGAAAGGTATAGAGGAACTCAGATTGAAAATGAAAAAAGAAATCACTGAATGAA